CCAGCTTTTGAACCAAGGAAGGCTCTCAAGATGTATGAACAACTCCAAGCGAAAATGAGGCTTCAAAGGGAGACACTGAATGTCCTGCTAATAAAAGCAAGTACATTTTCGAGCAGGTCATTAGAAAATGAAGGCGTTGCGATGATATTTGTACCCTAAGCTGATGAAGCAGGTCGTACCAACGAGACGCACTTAACTGAAGTAGCTGGAAAGAGGAGAATGTAAAACTTGTAGAAGAAAAACCGTTTCCACGACAACAACGAAATGAGAGTTCACTACTCATACTAGAGGCGCAGTTTTCCCTGATATGTAGGAGTATCTCCAGTTATTTCAAATTAAGACATGAGTCTCTAAATAAAATCTTATTGCATTTTATTTTCAATAGCGCAGACAGCTCTCTTAGAAAGTGAAAATGCTGTTAATTGAAGCAAATGAGAAAAAAAAGTTGTTGCAATTCAAAACAGGTTGAAAACCATAGGCCTGGAGGAAGAAAATTGAATGCTTTAATATCTATAAAATAAAAATAGGATACACAACCAATATATCTGAGTCAATAAGTGTTTCTTTCCATTTACTATAGACACAAGAGGTTCAAATTTTCTAGAGTTTAAGTTATATTTCGGGAGGAGGTATATAATTCAGTACATTAGAAAATATAAATCAAATATTGAAGAGCATGGTTTTATAAAATTTTTGATTCAAAGATTATTCTTTAGCTTCCAAGTAGAGCCGAATTTTATCGATGCGTTTTTCCTCGTGACGTGTTTTTTTCTTTCGTGGAGAATGTATCAGCAACAATCAAAAATACTATAGAATCCAAAGATCCTATTCTTACAAAGAGTGAGACTGACACATTCATCTAAAGCTGAAATTGGTCCACGTGTTTAGATGTGAAAAGCATATTTTTCCCATTTATTGACCTAAATAATGTACCATCGCAGCTCTCCTCTGAAGAGAATACAGCATGGTAGTCTCATTTCAGATTCTACAAATTTTTTATGTTTATAGCCATGTCTTCATTTCCCAGAAAGACTCCAAATACATCAGCATTCGTGGCATTACCCTTAAGGCATTAAATGCATTTGTTTTTCGTTGGTTTATTTTTTTTTTTTAGATATACACCTAAAAAGTATATGCCTTAGAGTCCCATATAAAAAAATGACTATATTTCATCTATTCATTCATTTACTCATTCGTTCAGAGATGTATTGATTTATTTAAAGATATGACTGCTATCATTACCACTGCTGCATAACAAATGACTCCAAAATGCAGGAGCTTACAGCAATCATTTGATTACGCACACGGATTCTGTGAGTCAGGACTTTGAACAGAACACAGCTGGTTGACTGATCTCTACTCCACAACATCTGGGAGCTTCATCTGTGAAAACTTGAACCCTGGGAGGTGATTCAATGTCCAGGGGCTGAAATCATCCAAAGGCTTGTTCATGCGCATGTCTGGAGCCTTGGCTAGGGTGACTCAAGGGCTCAGACTGCCAAACAAAGCATGAACACGTGACCTTCTCATGTGACCTGGTCCCTCACAGTGTGCTGGCCTCATGGTAGTCGAAGTGCTGAAATGGTCACTTAAGACTCTAAGCACAAAAGTTCTAGCAAACAACATAGAAACTACATCGTCTTTTGTGACATGTGACCTGAGACTTGTTCTTGGTTAAAAACTCTTTAGCCAGCTAGGAACGCTTAACCTAAAAGAATTAGAAATTTGCATTCTGAGTTAAAACAAATCTGCTAGACTCATTTATTTTGCTTGCATAAGAATTTTTACAAGAAACGAGTTTTTTGAATTATGCTTTTTAATAATTTTGGAATGTCATGAGGTATATACTTTGTATTAGCTGGTTTGGTTTAGTTTAGTTAAATATTAAAAGGTAAGGGAGATCATAATCAGAAGGTTAATTAGCACAACAGTGGTGAACAGACCCTAACTCTGGTGACAGTTGATCCCTTCAAAAAGATGATCTCTTACAATAAAGGTCCGCTACAGACTGAACTCTGTCTCTCAAAACTCACATGTTGCTGCCCTAACACTCATTATGACTGTATTTGGAGGTAGGAGTTTTAGGAGATAATTAATGAGTTCATAAGGGTGGAATCCAATCCAGGTGAGGATGCCCAATAGGATTGGTGGCCTTATAAGAAGAGGAGGACAGTTATCTCTCCCCTCATTGAATGCATCAAGGAAAGGCCATGTGAGGACACGGCAAGGTGACAGCCATCTACAAATCAGGAAGAGAGCCCTCACCAAAAACCGAATCAACTAGCACCTTGATCTTGGAGCTTCCCAGCCTACAGAACTGTGAGAAAATCAGTCTCACTCAGTCTTCAGTATCTTATCAAAGCATTCGGAGATGACTATGATGCCATTCACCTTCTTTTTTCATTTACTAAACTTTATGGCATTTGCTGTCCGCCAGGATTTGATAAACGTTAACTTAATAAACCTCATTTCAGCCGTCTCTAGTAGTTACTATTATTAACCCCATTTTACAGATGAGGAAACTGAAATCGAGAGCAGTTAAGGGAGTTGACCAAGATCCCTCAGCTTTAAGATCCAGTATTCAACTTCTTTCTCTCCTCTCTGCTCCTGAGACTCCATAGGCATGTGGACCTCCTCAATTTCTCCTTCATGCCTTTCGTCCGCTCTTTCCCATTTTCCATCTCTCTGTGCTACGTCTTAAGGTTTCGATCTTTTTTACATCATTAATTCTCTTTCTAGCTCTCTCGTAAAAAAATTTAATCCATTCTTTGCTTCAAAAAAAAAATCGTAACTTTATTATTCATTTCTAAAAACTCTAGGTGGTTCTTTTTTGCAATTTGCCTGACCTTTTTCATAGTATCTTGCTCTTTCACATTTTCAAAGCCTCCTTTTAAGTTCTTTTAGGGTCATTTTTTTAATACTTTCCATCTGATCATCGTATCATCAGAAGTTCTTGGGCATCTAATCGTACCCTCTTGTTGTCTGCAGACTCGTGATTGTCTCCCCTGGGTTGTCTAAATTTGGATTGTGAGCTCATCTTCAGCAAGGTATATCTATGTGCGGTCATCCGGAACTGACTACTTGAAGGTTTGTTCCTCCAGAAAAAATTGTGTATCTGCTCTTGCCCGGCATGCCACAGGGATACAGTAAATTGAGACCACTTTTAAAAAATTGTCCTTAGGGGGTTCCTAAATGATATAGGTAGCATAAATAAGACAATTAAACAGCATAGTGTAAGTCAATGGTTATAAATTCCTAAGAGAATGTTTTTCCCACCACATCTAGAGCACAAACTGACAGGCAAGTTTTCTAGTTGTCCCCTTGTGCCAGCTTTCATTCTAAAGGCTTAATCTGTCACTTCTGAGAGTTCTTCTTATATTACTTCTTTGGTAAATTCTACCTTTTCATTTTCTTGGTTCTCTCTATGACGTGTGGAATTTCTTAACCTGAAATCCTCTCATTTTCTCAGCAATACCTTTTTGTAAGGGTGATATGCTGGTTTTTCTCATCAGAGGATCCAGAAATGTCACTATCTGAGATACGTTCTTCATGGCCACTCAGTTTCTCCAGAAAATATTCCTTCCATGTTTTTCATCTTGGTGCAGGTGAGAAGCAGGAGCTGAAGGTATACTTTTGTTTGCGTCAGTTTTGTGAGTTTTGTGAGAAGGAGAACGTCCTGCCCACCTCTCGGTTTTCAGCCCCAAGGCACACCCACCCTCTGCTGTACCTGGGAACTTGAAACCGAAGTGTCCGTGGTTCACCTTCCCTAGAAAACTCCAGTCTCCTCTGAGCGGCAGAAGAAGAGGGAGTGAGGAAGATGAACATTTTCCCCAGGCTGCCAGGAGCGAGGGAGGGTCCCGAGGGTCCAGCCCCTCAGCGTGTCCACTTTCGAGTCTTCTTACATCGCATCGCTCTCCCCCCTCTCCTTGGCGTCTAACTCTATCCATTTCCTGAGGCCGCTATAACAAAGTGCCACACACCATGGGGCTTAAAACAAGAGAAATGTATTGTCTCCCAGTCTGGAGACTAGAAGATAGGCTATCGAGGCATCGGCAGGGTTAGTTCCCTCTGAAGGTGGTGAGGGAGAATCAGTTCCATGCACCTCCCAAGTTCTGGTAGCCGCAGGTGTTCCTTGGCTTGTAGATGCCATTCCCCTGCGCCCTCACTGTCTTCCCTCCGTGCATGTCTGACTCTGTGCCCAAATTCTGCCTTTGTATAAGAACACAGTCATATTGGATTAGGGCCCATGCTAATGACCTTGTCTTACATTGATTCCCCCTGTAAAGACTCCAAATGTCTCCAAATGAGGTCCCATTTTGAGGTACGGGGGGTCAACACGGCAACATACTTCTTTCAGAGGGACACGGTTCAGCCCATCACACCGCTGAGCCAAATCCTGAGCTCCTCTGGAGTTCTGCAGGGTGGGTCAACTCATTCCCTCATTTTGATGCCTCCTCCTCCCCACGCACATACCCGCACAGAGACACGTGTATGTACACGGACACATGCACAGATAAATGCACACACAGAGACAGAGTAACACGTGGAGACATGGATACACACAGATACACAGACACACAGACACGCACAGACACACACTCACTAGTATACTTGGAGTGTGCCTTTTTTTGGTCTGTTTATTTCATACTCTTCTGTCTACTTGGCCTCTTTTCCCATTCCTTCTGCTTTTTAGAGCCATAACATTTGCATCCTCTTCCAGCAATTTTGGTGGGATTTAGAGAATAAGCAGCGATTAATCCTGTACACTCACCCTCCTGCATTTAACCAGAAAATACTCCAGAACAACATCCTCCAGGCCTGGGAGCACTTCTCTGGAGCATTTGCTGCAGAGAAGACGTCTTCACCCAGAAATGATGACCTTTTCATGATTCTAAAGCGCCCACCTCTGAGCATGGCCCGTCATTTACCAGAAATGCCCAGTGACCCCATGACATGAGGAAGGGTGTGGCCTTTAAAGCTTGACCTACTTTCTGCCCGGCTCCTCCCCCAAGTTGATTTCTCTTTGTCCTCGTCCCCTAGGCTGCCCTCCTCTGCTCACCCCGCATGTCTGTGTTCCACTACGAAGAGTAACCTGTCTCTTTAAAAGGAAAAAAAAAGCCACCAAGTGACCTCCCTTAGGAACGAGTTGCTAAGCGGGTGTTTTTGCTGGAGACGTGGCTGCAGCTTCCCAGCGAGCTGCCTGGGCACCACCCCAACATTCAGCCTCTCCCTGGGACTCACAGAAGTTTCAACAGGAAGACCCATCTGTCTGCACTTGCCCTTCCTCACAGAGAGCGGAGTCTGCACAATGCTTTTGTGAAGCTCCTCAAGGTAAATCAGCCCTGGGGAGCAGGGCTGCAGCGTTGGGGTCCTGCTTTCAGTCCCCGCCCTGGAGTTCAGCCTCTCCCCTCCGTACCCTGAGCAGATTTAATGAATTGTAAAGTCAGAGGTTCTCAGCACCAGCATTCACGTTTTACCTTCTGGAACTGAAACATGGAGCGTTACTCAGGCTGCTGCTTGGAGTCTGGTTTGTAAAAACGTTAAGTCTAGCTCATCATAGTTCCTGGGTGAATTTCCCCCAGACTGTTGTCACTCTGCTTCCTTCCTGGGACCTCCTTGCCGTCCGGTTGCATTCCAGTCTCCCGGAACTATTTGCTGCATGTCCTGTTTCTGGGCCTTTTAGCTCAAAGTGGTTTGAAGGGCTAAGTACTAGCTATTGCAAGCTTCGCTTTTTTTTTGGCATTAGACAGGGAAAGGGCTGTGACAGACAAAGGGCTGAGGACCGCTGCTCTCGCCAAAAAAACCACATGAAACTCTGCCGGCCGCAATTTAAAGTGATTGCTTCCCTCCATTACAAAGAGGTGCAATGAAAAGCTTGAGAGTCTAATGGGAAATACACGTACGTCATTACATTCTCATATAATTTCTGCAAATAAACTCGGCACCAGAATGAAATCTCCCTCTGTATCTATCTCCTAGAGCTCATTGAAAGAGTCATTCATTCCCATATTTATTGAGCAAAAACAATGCACCAGGCAACGTGCTGGAGTTTAAAGTGTGTGACAATGAATTGGACCAGGTCAGAAGCTCAGAGTTTCCTGGGAAAACAGACCTAGAAACAGAAGACAACAGTGCAATGAGCTAAATGCCGTAAGAGACTTAGGAAAGAGTCTAAAGTGCTTAGAGCCGAGCCAGAGTACTCCCAGGGGAGGGCCTGGGCACTCGGTTCGTGTCAGTGCATTAGGCACATGTCATACATTACACATTACATATATCATATATTATATATTATACCGAGCCGATTCTATAAAGGTATGTGTTGCTAACCTTATACTATGGGAAATTACGGGTGGAATAATTTGTAGAATTAGGTAATGAATTGAAAAACAGTGTGTGTGACACTTGCCCAGGGTTCCAGGCTCCAGCTGTAATAAGCTGGGATGGAAAAAGGTACGGGGAGAACACGCTCATGCGTGTGAGGGCGGGGGGAAGGCTCCACCAGAAGCACCCTCAACGGAAGCAGAAGGAAAACCGCCTTGGACCCAGCTGGCGGGGACATAGAGGGGCTGTTGGTTGTTGGAGCCAGTGGGTTTGGTGCAAGGCAGGGCAAATTTCCCCGAGTTGTCAGGGAGTCCAAGCCCTGCACAGAGAGGAGAAGAGGGTCCTTTGGCAGAGAGCGTAGAAAGAATTCAACCCACGCGCCACACTTAGAGTCAAAAGGAAAGTTTATTAGAAAAGGGACAACATGCCACCAACAGAGTGTGGTCTCTCAGAGGCAGAGAGGGAGAAGGACAGTGAGAGGGACAGAGTAAAGGCACTGAGAGGGACCCTGAGTGTCCAGGGAATTCGGTTTCTATATCGTTCTTTAGTTCCTGTGAGTTATAGTTTAAAAGACTCTGTTAACCCAATTCCTTTGATATAGACACACAGCAAGGAAGGGGAAGAGTGTGCAGTGTGAAAAGTAAGAACAGGGAGAGTGACAGGCCCGCTGGCAGTTCCCAGCCTTTAACCCTCAGGTTCCCCGTGGTTTTAGCCCTAGAGAATGACTCTGGGTTCCTAGTTCCGCTTCACAGATGTGGAGAATGGGCCATTTGCAATCCCGCAGAAACCTCCCTCTGTTCTGCAGGCCTCCTCCGGCCGGGCTGCAGGGCTGATCAGCATATCACAGTCTCTGATTGCGGCCTGATTAACATTTTAATTCTCTTGGCTCCTTTCTGCTTTAGGTTGAAGGTGGGAACCAAAGACCTTAATGGGAGACCTGAACAGCACCTGAGGTCTTCTTTACGACTCCCCTTCCGTGCCCTGAGCTCTTTTTCCCTCCCCGCTCCTTTCTTCTGCTCCTCCCCCCATCATCACCTTTTCTTAAAAACACCAGGATCGAGAGACGGGTCCATGTTGGGCATTTTACTACACACATTCTCTCATTTAAACCATATAAAATAACTACCCTGAGGTAGGAATTACGATCCCAAGTTTACAGACGTCAGAATGTATCTCGGAGAAGCAAAGGCATCGCTCCGAGATCACAACTGATAAATACAGCTGGAACTTGAACTCAGGTCTATAATGATTTTTTACAAAACCCTCTCTCTTTCTATAAAACCATGTTTTCACGGTTCTGGAGTAAGATGCACATAATTGTATTATTTTTTTTAAGCAGCCAAGGTCGAAATTCATCCAGTGCTGTCCTTTGCGTACACTTTCTGTTTTTCCCCTCTACCTGCTGTAGAATTTGTCACAGGGTCCTCTTAATGACATCGCTCCTCTCATGACTCTCAGGGATAGAGAGTGAATTTGTCTGGAGGAAGGTGTCAGTATTTCTCTCAAAAATGTTTTCGATTTTTTGCACTGAGTTAAACAAATCGTGGACCCAAAGTAGCCAAAACCTTTTCTTACTGGGGCAATGCTTCCGTTTTCCGTTGTAAATGCTTTCAGAATAGGGGGCTGGCATAGAACAGTTCCTGATATCAGCGAAAAGAGAAGAATAAAGGGTGACACCGGGCAGAAATCTGGACTCAGAGTCCTGGGGTCAAGTTCCCAATGTGACATTTAATAACGATAATCTTGGACAAATCATGTAAACTGTCAGAGGTTGACCTTGAGGAAACCTCGGTTGCCTTACATGTAAATTGAGGCAGGTGCTACTAAGCTAGAAAGAAGCGTTGCTGTCAGGCCTAGTGATAACACGTATCTAGTGTGAGCACACAATAAGTCTGCAATAAGTCATGGCTCTTATTTTGAGGTCGCCAATAGGAATATATTAACATGCACTCGATGCCTATGATAACGAGCTGCATATTAAAATTGGACAGTACTGATTTATCTTTTCTTAGTAAGGCTGTTTATAAAAGAAAGACATTTTGATGTCATTAGATTTCTTTAGAAACTCATTCAAAAGTAATGATCAGGAAAGAATGAGAAAAATGTCAACCCCATTACATTTTTCATTTTCTACATCTACTTCTTTCTTTCGTACACAACATTTGTTAATGTATCGAGAATCTTTTCTTAGTTACTAAAATATTTCACAGTTTTTTTTCCAGTTCGTAATTGCCAGAGATGTTTATTAGAGAGCTTTCGTGTTCTTCAGATTTCATCCATATCAACCTGTTGTTATTTCTAGATTATCTCCTCACTTTTCATTTTCTTAGCTGCTTTCATCATTTCCTTTCCTCTATTTTTTGTAGCCTGTGAGTTGGTCGGGATGGGAGACAATAGAATTTCAGGTGCCTTATTTCCCTATAACATGCTAATTCCCCACGAGGGCCAGTGAAACCTTGAACGCCTCGCATGAGCTGCTTAAATGACCGAGGCCCCGTCAAGATTTCACTTCCACACATATCAGGAAGAGTTTCTGATTCGTCAGCCCAGGTATTTCTCTCATTTAATAATCACCTCGGCCCAAAGAGGACGATAAGCTTTAAAGGGCTCCAGGATGTGACTACGGAGACGCGGCCAATAAATAATGACTTAGTCATTCATTGGACAAGTATTTATTAAATGTCTGCTGTGTGCCATAGTCCTACGCTCTGGCGGTAAATGATGAACAGATGTTCCTGTCCTCTTGTAGCTTATATTCTAATGATAATGGGCAGGCAATCGCAAATAAATATGTATGTCAGCTGGTGAAGAGTACTAGGGGGAAAAAATCATTGTAAGGTAGTTAGGGAGTTCTGCACGGTGGGAGGTTATCATGGCATTGTGAGTGTTTAGGGAAGACCCCTCCGATCAACTGAAATTTGAACAGAGTCCTGAAGGAACTAAAAGAGAGAAAGTCAAGCAGATATCTTGGGAAAGAGAGTTTCAGGCAAAGAGAACAGCAAGTGCAAAGGCCCTGAGGCCAGAGGGTTCAAGTGCAGATCATGCAGGGCCTTATAGGCCATTAAAAGAATTTTGGATTTCATCCCGTTGAAGAAGGGAAGTCATTGGAGGATTTTGAGTGGAAGAATAACATGATCTCTCTCAAATTTTAAACAATTTACTCTGGCTTCAACGTAGGGAATAGACAGTAGGGAAGCAAGGTGGGTGTGAGGGAGGCCAGGAAGTTCTTACACTTGGCCATGTGATGATCTCTCTCAAATTTTAAACAATTTACTCTGGCGTCCACGTAGGGAATAGACAGTAGGGAAGCAAGCTAGGAAGTTCTTACACTTGGCCATGTAACAGACAGCGGGGCTTGACCAGGGCGACAGTTAGGGAAGGTGCCGAGAGGTGGTCGGATCCTCAGTCTAAGTTGAAGGCAAAGTTGGCAAGACCTCCGGTGGGTGGGACGCGATGTGTCGTACAGGAGTCAGGGCAGGATCAAGAATGACTACGAGGTGTCGGCCGGAGCAAAGTGGCATTCTGTGGAAGGCAGCGAGGAAGGTTGAAGGACGAGCAGGTCGGGGATCGTGACAAGGAGCTTTGTCTGGCGCATGCTAAGCGAAATGAAGGTACCCATCTAGCCCTTGGACATTGGCGTCCGGGGTCCTGGAGAGACATGTGAGCCCAGGGTGTAAGTCTGGAGACTATCAGTTAGTAGGTGGTATTTCAAGCCAAGCAAAAGGATGAGACCACCAGGCACTCACATGGGGTGCCCAGGAGATGAGCAGAAACCAGCCCGGGAGTTTGAGAAGGAGCAGCCAGTGGGTAGAATGAAAACCGGGAAAGGACATGTCCCAGAAGGCACGTGAAGAAAATAGTTCAAGGAAAAAAAATGTGATGGGTCCCTCTCATTACTCAGTGCCTCTAACAGGTCGGATAAGATGAGGACTAAAGAC